AAAGTTTTCAGTTAAGACACTCTGTTACATTATGTTTGGTTTTGACCTCACTAAGGAGGACCAGTTGAAAATAGACATGTACTGATCACATTGCATGTAATTTTCATGCTGCACATCCATGATTGATCTATGTCATTTGATTGTATTGGTATATGTGACCATTGATGGGTCGAGTCACGATAAATGTGACGAAGGCCGCTTTGATCCTATATTGATATAGTCAATGGATGAGATTGTTCGGAAATACCATTTCAGTGATAGCAATTTTTGAGCTCATAAGGTTATACACAGTTTAAGGAATCATATGGTGCCCAAGTGGGAGATTGTTGGATTTAATCTAATAAATCTATTTGTGAGCACATATGATTAATCAATGTGTATTGCTATCTTTCAGGATAACCCACTAAAGTGATCAATTAAGTTGGGTTAATTTGGTATTTAAATAAGTTATGGGGCTATATGTGCAGATACCAGGTTGTAATTGTAATTTATTGAGGGGCTAAATTACAAAAGTACAACATCTATAAATAAGGGGTTATGGTCCCTAACCTAGGGTTACATTCTCTAATTCTCTTCACCCTCATCTAAGAGAGAAATTCGGCTAAGGAGAAAACCCTAAGGTTAGAAGATCCAAAACCCAAAATCAAGATCAAGCAATGGATTCAGGTATAAGCTTCCGCTCTTTTAGATCCTTGTTAATTTCTTTGAATTAATCATTGCTATATGGTTTTAGATCTTAAGTTTTATGATGTAGATCTACAACATCTAATAAAATAATATTTTTATCCCCCAACTCATCTTATTACATCTCATTTCTTACCTTTAAAAATAAATCAAACACAAAAAATATGTCACATCATCAAACTCATCACATCTCATATTATCTTATTTTTAAAAATCACACACATCATCCAATAATATTGTGACAACTCATCTCATCTCATTAAACCTTTATTTTCATCTATTTCCTAAAAAAATAAGAAATTGATTTCCTTAAATATGTGTTACATCATCCAATAATATACCTCTAACTCATCTCATCTCATCTATTTTTTTATTTTTAAAAATGAACCAAACACAAACAACCTCAAAACATCATCCAATAATATACCTCCAGTTCATTTCCTTATTTTTTTTAACCAACCAAACAACCTCAAAACAAGTTTTTTTTTTAAATCACTCACATCATCCAATAATAAGGTGACAACTCATCTCATCTCATCTCCTATTCTATAGTTTTCTTCTTTTTAAGCCAACCAAACAACCTTAAAACAACTATTATAGGAAATAGGTTTCCTATTCTTTGATTTTTCATTTTTTTTGCGAAACGAACAGCCCCTAATTTTAGTGCCACCTATGCAAATAATTTTCATTTTCTATTTTATTCCTAATTACAGCACTTGTAAGCTGCTCTCTCTCTCTCTCTCCCTCCCTCGCTTTCTCTCTCATCATCTCCTTCCTCTCTTCTCTCTTCTCTCTCTCTCTCCACTCCATAGCCATTACCAATAACTTTTTATGCTTTCTTTTCTTCTTTCTCTCGTCACTCCATGGCCTCCTGCACCATCATCCTTCCTTTTCTCATGGCCCTAAACAAACTCAATACCTCTCGTCCGCCATTGAACCTATCACGACCTTCTGTACCATCACCCTCCTCTCCCCAAATGACGATCTTCCTTTTGATTTAAAAAGTCTTGGCCTCATCACAAGATCAAATGCTGAGGAAGACGAGCACCTGTACTTATAAGTGTAGATCAATTGTTCGACCAAATGGCTATGAGAAATAAGCCCATCATGTATAAACTCCATGATAGGGCCAAGCAGTTAGAGAAGAAGAATATGTTAGTTTTGATTGTGTGGGCCTCGAATGTGAGGTGGTGGGATCTGGATTGGGCCTAGCAAAGGAGGGGGTACGACGAGGCTAGGATTGGAGATGGATGTGGATTGAAGGAGGAAGAAGAAGAGCATGACAGTGGGCAATTAGCATTGATCATGACCACGGTTTCAGAATCAATGCCCTCTTCCTTCTTAAAGAAGTCAATCATTATTTCATCCTCCTCCGTGGAGCTCAACCGCCAAGCTCAATCTTCGAGCAGTCTAGAATGCATTTCAAGATTTTTGAGTAAAAGAATGTCAGTGGAATGTTATATAATGCATTTTATGATTTTTGAGAAAATAAATAACTTTTAGTTATTTCTTCTTTTTGATGTCCTGAGATCCAATAAAGGTATTAGTGGATAATCTTGAGTTTTAGCAAGGGAGTTTGTGGCGTGGGTTCCCTCATCTCTCTTAAATATCAGTCTCCTATCTATATAAGAGAGTTGCACAATAACACTTGTTAGAGGACTGGAGTTGTGTTCTCTGGTGGTTCCTCCGATAGTTAAGTCAGTATTTGAGCTTGAGTGAAAAAGATACCAATAACTAAAATAGATAGCTAATTCTTTAAGCTTAACAACTAACTCACAGAATTGATAGCTAATTCTTTAACTTTGAAAGTTCAACCAAAATACTTTAAAATATTAAAACTCATGAACTGAAAAAAAAACTATATAGAAAAAGAAAGAGTTAGGATTAGAGAGAGGAGGATTAGAGGAAATATATAGGTGCAAATATTCATTTGCTCAATAATAACATTCAACTAACATATTTCACAACCACACATTGTTCAATAGAAGCTTATACTAGATTACAAAGTTAACATGACTATAGCCTAAACTTATAATTTTATATTTTAACCTATTCTTTGTTCATACCATTAATTTCCATAGAACTTCATTGAGATCAGACTCAACCTCCACTAACTGCTCATGTATCTTCTTTGAAACGTCCCAAATCACCTAAGCAACCCAAATCTCATCATTTTTGGGTATCTTAATGAAAGAACATAGACATGAATCCAAATCTCAAGAACCACTATGGCCAAGGAAGAGGAAGAAGAAACCAAATTCTTCTCATCTCCACCTCCATCAAAATCTTCTTTCATAATGCCATTGGGCGAGGGGAGGGTGGTGGTGCAGGAGGTTGTTGAAGGTTCAAGGAAAGGACGAGCTCCGTCGTTGCCGATCAGAAATAATGGTCGGAGTGGAAGAAAGAAATTTAAATTATTTAGGGCTTTTTTTATTTTAAGGGAGGAGGGAGGAGGGGGCATTTTGGTGTTATTGAAAATAAAGTACATTGATGGGGACACATGTGAGCCGGAAGGCTTTGATTGCTTAAGTCATTTAATTTTAGAGATTTTTGGGATGTTGAAAAAGTCTTGAGATGGAACAAATAAAATTTGTTATTTTAGGGGCTAGATGCAATTTTCCCTTTTTTTTAGTGTTCTCTCATGACAGAGTAAAATATTCTATCAGAAGGCCTCAGAGAATTAGATTATCTCTACCATTTAGTGATGATCAGAGTGTTAATTTAGAAATATAGATTTTCTGTCAACAATGTTAATCACATCACTCCTATAAAAATGAGTGAAATAGCATTTCTAGTCTATCTTTAGTGATGATCAGAGGGTTAATTTAGAAATTTTAATTTTTATATCAACAATGTTAGTCACATCACTCCGATAAAAATGAGTGCAATAGCATTTCTAAAGCTTATGACACATGTTAAGAAACATTAAATGCTCTTGTAGTATTTCCCTTATATAGATAGATGTGTCAAATTTAATGATTTTTTCTTTTTAAGGCATTTTTAGATATTAGTCCCTTAAATCCTCAATAATTGCATATTAGTCCCTCAAATCGTAAAAATTGCATATTAGTCCCTTGAATCTTCAATAATTAGATATTAGTCCCTCGAATATCAAAAATTGCATATTAGTCTCTTAAATCTTCCATAATTGCATATCAATCCCTCAAATCTTAGAAGTTGAACATAGTCCCTCAAATCGTATAAGGTCTTGGAAAATGGTTCTTTAGTCAGTATTTTAGTTAAAAAACTAATCATTGTTGGGTTAACTCCTAACCTACAATCTGCAATCACCAGACCACCCTTATATCTAATGTTTCAACCCTTTGTGAAACTCAACAAACCACCCTTGTATCCGATATTTTTAGTTTTCAACCCTTTGTGAAACTCAACTTTGGGTTAGGGTTTTTTGCTAACCATTAGAGAGGAACAACTCAAGTGAGTTTGTATTTATTTTAAACGATTATTGGGTTTAAACCTATAAAGAAATGGTTTGGGAACATTATAGAGGGGCAAAATGGTCATTTTGTCTCCAAACGTTAGATTTGACATAATAGTCCCTCCATATCTAACGTGATTTAGCTTGAAGGATCATTTTGCAAGACCCTATAGGATTTGAGGGACCAATATGTAATTTCCAAGATTCAAGGGACTAACACGCAATTAGTAAAGATGTAAAGGGCTAATATGCAATTTTCAAGATTTGAGGGACTAATATATATGAAAATTTGAGGATTTAAGGGACTAATATCTAAAACCCCTTTTTTTAAAACCTAAAATTGATTTTAATTATTTGCAAGTTTTAACTTAACATAGTTTAATGAAAATAAAGGAAAGTCATAATTTTGTACGCATCTGCTGCTCTATACTTAAAGGAGGATCGAAGAATTCACTGTTCATACTACACTAAATTACTGCAGCATGAACAATGACTCTTTGGGTCCTCCTATAAGTACATAGAAGTAAACTTATTGTTCATGCTACAGTATATACTATATCATGAACATTGTCCATTTAAATATGTAGCAAGAGATATGATTTTTAATTTTAAGCATACAATAATTAAATTAAATGTATTTAAAAAAACAAGGGTAGTAAAAGTAGGGGTAACCATTTAATAATTTTGAACATGGGTCCTAAGGCCACACTGTAGAAATTAAAATCCAATTATATTTTGATAATGGTTTTTACGAATCGCTATAATGACCGAAAAAGAAAGGGAATAGGCGATAAATAATGAGCGGTGGCCCGCACTGTCTCTCTCTCGTCCCGTTAACTCTTTGGATGATTGTCTGATCCAGTGCCCTCCTCGTTTGCAGGCTATTCTACTACGACCTCGAGGACATATTGGTAAATTACCCGCGCAACCTGGCGTGGTCCGTACACAGACCGTCGCTGATAATGGGCTCGTCGGATCGGAGCCTGTACAACGTGCTGCTCACGCTCGCCACGTACGCACTGATCTGCAGGCACGAGCGGGCCCCATTCCTGTTTCCCGGCTCCTCGTACATGTGGCGCCACTTCTGCGACGTCTCAGACGCGGACCTGATAGCGAGCCAGCAAATCTGGGCGGGGACCACTCCGAGCGCGGCGAACCAGGCGTTCAACTGCGTCAACGGCGACGTGTTCACGTGGAGAAGCTTCTGGAAGGCTCTCTGCGAGTTGTTCCGCGTGGAGTTCGTGGAGTGCGAGTCGGAGGGCGGGGCGCCCGACTGGAGCAGTAGGATGGCGGGGAAAGGGCCGGTTTGGGCCGAGATCGTGGAGGAGAACGGGCTGAAGAAGACCAGGTTGGAGGAGATCGCCTGCTTCGGGGCTGTTGGGTGTATACTGAACTTTGGGTTCCAGCACGTGAGCTGCATGAACAAGAGCAGGGAGTATGGGTTTGTTGAGAGCGTGGATACTTTGAAGAGCGTGGCCAAATGGGTGTTTAGGCTCAGGGAAATGGGTGTGATCCCTAGAGATTGAGCGAGATGGCCGGAGTAATTCTATCGGAAACCTGCACGTAGCTAATAAATTCTCGGAGGCTTCTTGCGGCTTTCGAATTTATTGATATTTTCTAGGTGTTTGGCTTTATTATTATTATTGTTATCTGTACTGATGAACTGTTCCTACTTGGAATTATGGTTGTTTGCGATAATTTAATGGAGCCAAGGAGCGAGTAAAAACAAAGGAAAATGATTTAAGGACCCAAAATATGGGACCAAGAGAGGGGACAGGTGAGGTGTCCCCTCCCTATTGCATAATGAGTTGGTCATACCAACTCATTATGCAATAGGGAGGGGACACCTTACCTGTCCCCTCTCTTGGTCCCATATTTTGGGTCCCCATAACAATACTCAAAAACAAAAATATTTAGTTAGTTTCGCCAAGAGGGAGGCAATTGTTCTCTTTGAGTTTGTTCAATTGTTTGTATAGCAAGGGACAAGGTCTAGCTAGGGCAGTCGTTTCTCTTCGTTATTGGGGCGTGTATTCCTACTTTTCGATGTGAAATGGGACGGGCCATAATGAATAAAAACTGTGTGATTTTGCCTCCTTGCGCGCCTCAGGCCTTTTAAAGCCTGAGGGAAAATTATTTTTAGGTTAATTTCACTTAGTTCTCCAAACTTTGAAGATTTTACATTATATTTCCATTGCATGCGGTGTTAACTACTAATGATGAAATGATCAAAATTCCTTTTTAAGAATATGACTCAAAAAAATAGAAAAGTGTTGATGATGGGTAACCAAACAGTCAAATATATATGATGGGGGTGAGGTTGATTAGGGACCGCTTCATTCTCTGAATATTCGGTTCTGAGTTAAGTAGTTGAAGCCTGCACAAGTAGAAAATTCGTGAGAGGACGGGGTTTGGTTCCCCCGTTGTACCTCCGACGATCAATTCGGTTCTGAGTTGAGTAGCTGAAGCCTGCACAAGTAGAAATTCGTGAGAGGACGGGGCTTGGTTCCCCCGTTGTAACTTCGACGATCAAGTCAGTTAATGAACTTGAGTGGGGAAATGAAGAACTGCATGAGTTCTTCTACGTAGTGCAGTATGATTGCTTACAAATTGCTTAAGGTAGCTTAGATTCAAGACAAAGTAGATCCGAGAGAAAAAGTCCTCTCTATATTAGAATACTACCTCTATTTATACTGATGGTATAAGGGTAGAACCGTCATTTCGGCCGAGCACAGGATGGCGGTAAAAAAGTATGGGCTCGCGGCTGCGTCAACACCTACTTTACAGGTGTCGCTCGACGAGTGGCGGAGAGATTACCTCAATATTAAATGAGAAGTGATCGGGGGCATGACGGTGCCGACGTGGTACGATGAGTCATGAAGACTATCGGGGCAAGAGGCATGATGACGCCTACCAAACATTAAATGCAATGCTAACATATTGTTAGTAGGGGAGGCTCGAGGCTGAAGCCATCTCTTGGCTTGGCCGAGAAGTAACGCTTCTCGAGTCGACCCTACAAAGTAGCGAATAGCTGGTCGAGTGGGCTCGTAGCGAGTCGTCTTCGATAATAGAACCGATAAGTACTGCCATTCGAGTCGACATAAGGGGATGTCGACTCGACGAGTCGGCTAAGTCGGGATCCTTGCTGATCTTGACAGCCAATCTGATCTGAGCAATGCATGTAGGGGGACACATATCCGTTGCTGGCAAAGGGCTGCACTTTGGTAACTAGAAACATAACAGTATGCCCCTTTAGCTTGGAGTCGGCTTGAGCCAGGTCCGAGTGAAATAAGAGCAACTTTGTTCTGATAGTGAGAACACTTATCGCGAGCCGGTTGTGTGAGGACGACCCGAATATTGATGGGGCGAGTCGATCGGCTCGTCTGTATTTTCTCTTGTTGGTGAGATCTCGATCTTTTGTTGAGGACGACCGAGAGGTTAAAGTGCTTGGGGCTTAATGAGGTCGCCCAGATCTTTTTGGCAGAATGAAAACTCAGAGGTTGGGTGCTCAGAACTTAATGTAGATGCCTAGATCTTTGACAAAATGATAACCCTGAGGTTGGGTGCCCAGGACTTAATATGGACACATGGGTCTTCTGGTCCTGCTATGACGGTCGAGTGGCAAATGTGGGAGTCGACCGAAGGGCAATGGTGCCTTGGGTTTACCATGAGAAGGCACCAAGATCTTTTTCGACAAATGGCAACCCGGAAGTTAGGTGTCCAGGACTTAATGTGGACGTCTGGGTCTTCCGGCCCTGCTGTGATGGTCAAGTGGCAATTGTGGAAGTCGACCGAAGGGCAAGGGTGCCTTGCGTTTACCCTGAGAAGGCACCAATGTCTTTTCGGCAAATGGCAACCCGAAGGTTGGGTGTCCAAGACTTAATGTGGACGCTTGGGCCTTCCGGTCCTGCTGTGACGGTCAAGTGGCAAATGCGGGAGTCGACCAAAAGGCAAGGGTGCCTTGGGTTTACCCTGAGAAGGCATCATGGTCTTTTTGGCAAATGGCAACCCGGAGGTTGGGTGCTCAAGACTTAATGTGGATGCCTGGGTCTTCCGACCCTACTGTGACGGTCGAGTGGCCAATACGAGAGTCGACTAAAAGGCAAGGGTGCTTTGGGTTTACCTTGAGAAGGCACCATGGTCTTTTCGGCAAATGGCAACCCGAAGGTTGGGTGCCCAGGACTTAATGTGGATGCCTGGGTCCTCTGGCCCTACTGTGACGGTCGATTGGCAAATGTGAGAGTCGACCGAAAGGCAAGGGTGCCTTGGGTTTACCCTGAGAAGGTACCAAGGTCTTTTTGGCAAATGGCAACCCGGAGGTTGAGTGCCAAGGACTTAATATGGACGCCTGGGTCTTTTGGCCTTGGTTGCCGCCTTATAAGCCCGAGCATCATCCATGTCCATATACCCATGAGCTTTGGTGTTTGGTGGAAAAATTTGCAGTAAAAGAAATGAAGGAAAATCGATTTGTATTCCTTTAATCTCAGTTACAATTGGATTTCCTGATTACAAAAGAGAGGAGAATGAATTTGATTCTCCCCTTTGTTTAATTTTGGGTTCTTCACGGTGGCGATGGAGTGCCTCCCTCGAATGCTCGCGTCGAGTTTGCTCTCCGTTGACGATCCGAACGTCTTGATTCACTGGAACGTGGTCTTCTCCTCACGATTTGACGTTGTGGAGAACTTGCAAAGAAAGTTTTTGAACTCTTGATGAGTTGATTGATCTTAACCGTAATTGGTTAGACAAGCCAAGGATCTCTTCTTTGCTGCCCCAGAGCCGGATCCAAAAGCCAGCCCCTCTAAACTGATTTTTTAGTTATTTATAGGGGATTAAAGGGTGTAATCGCCCCCTTAATTCGCTCCTAAGTGGGGCTAATGGGATGTAACCGCCCCTTAAATCACTCCTGAGTGGAGTTGTGATCCCCTCAGATCGTGGGAAACGGTTTTGAAACCATTCAGCTCGTGTTTGAACGAGTCAACTGCAGGTCCTGCGTTCTGGAATGAAATCTGCGTTTGAACGCGGTGTTTGCAAGCTGCGCTAGGCAACAGATGGAACCTGCGTTGGTAGCTGTTAGAAGCTGCGTTGGCAGCAGTTAGATGCTGCGTTTGGCAGCGGTTGGAAGCTGCGTTGGCAGCAGTTGGAAGCTGCGTTGGGCAGCGGTTGGAAGCTGCGTTGGGTAGAAGTTGGAAGCTGCATTGGCAGCAGTTGAAAGCTGCGTTGGGTAGTGGTTGGAAGCTGCGTTGGCAGCATTTAGGAGCTATGTTTGCATAGCTTTGACTCTGGAATGAGACCACTTGTGCTTCACCTCTGGGATGCAGGGATGAGTCTTGTGTCTTGGATTGAAGAGATCGTCGATTTGTAGTCTCTTTCTGTCAGAGCGTTGCAAAGATCGTCGTTTTGTAATATTTTCTTTAGCTCTTTGATATGTGAGAGTCGTCAGATTGTAACTCTCGATGTTGATTGTGAAGGCTGTTGATTAGAGCTTTCATCAGTTGTTGCGAAGGTCTTCAGATTGTAACATTCATCAGTCTACGTGAAAGTCTTCAAATTGTAACCATCTGGAAGTCGTCAGATTGTAACTTCCATGATACGTTTTTGATGGGGAATCAGCTATCTATTGTGATTTTTAGATAGCCTACATTTGTCTATTAGGTGCTCATAGTTGGTGACAGGCTTCTTGGCAAGCAAGTAGGCCAACTCGTTGCTCTGCAAGCTGACTACGAGAGTGAACATAGAAACCACACTCCCTGGGTTGTTAACTTCCAGCCTCTTAGCTTAGAACCTCTTGAAATAGGTTCGAATGCTCTCTCCAAGCTCCTGCCTCATCTGAATCAGCATATGAGGGGGGAGCTTTTGTTTGGTGTCAGTCAAGAAGTGGTGGATGAACTTCCTGTTGAGTTGCTGAAAGTTGTTGATAGATTTCTTCTCAAGGGTGTTCCACTAGAGCTTGGCGCTCCCTGAGAGAGTGATGGGGAAGCATCAGCAGATAACTGCTTCTGATGCTTGGAGCATACTCATCACATCATAGTAGTTCTGAACATGCTCGGAGGGATCTCCCTCGCCCTTATACTTCTCCGCGTAAGGCATCTTGAACTTCTCACATGGAGATTCATGAGATCATCAGAAAAGGGGGTGTTACCCCCGATGGCATCTGTGATTGGTCTGTACACCCGATCATATCTAGAGGCCCCAATGGTAGCAGAAGGGGCTGGAGAGGTACAGTGGTGCGGGAGAGTCTTAGAGACCACTCCCCTAGTGCGATCCCCAATGTGACCAGGGCCAGGACTCTCACTGGTGGCTTCAGGATGAGGGAGGAGACGTTGGCGAGGTTCCTCGGGACGAGTCGACTAATGTGGTGGCGGGGTCGCATACTCGACGTGATCTCTCTGCTGCTTGGCAGCAGCATGAGGAGTCCGAAGCGAGACTATTTGTTACGCTCTAGAAGAGAAGTGAGTCTCTGATCGCTGGTCCTCAGAAGGCAGGGGAACAGCGGAAGTAGCTTACTACGGCTGTGGAAGCCGGCTGAGCAGTTCGCTGGTGAAGGTAGCGAATTGTTGTTGAAAGCATTGAGAAATCTTCTGACCTGTCTCTTCAAGCTGAGCTTGAATTACGTAGTTCTGGTGTGGTCATTCAGGGTGAGACTGATTAGCCATATCCTCAGAACCAGACATGTTTTCTCAAAAAAGAAAGAAGGCCCCACGGTGGG